CCTTAGGCTGGTCCCAGCAGAAGCCAAAGTCACTGACACTGAAGCCACTGCTCAAGTGCAGGTGAGTCGGATAGATGCTCCAGGAGATGCAGAGAGGGAGGGCGACTGAGTCAGCACAGGCTGGGAGAGGGAACCTGCAGACACAGACACACTTAGGAGATGGGACAGGAGCTAGAGTGATGATTCTCAGGAGCCTCAGTCAGAAGAGACTTAGATGGAAGACTGAAGGCTGTCCCTTGTACCCAAGCCTCATCCCTACCTGTGCACTGAGAGAGGAGCACGAGGAGGAAAGCAGTCCAGGCCATGGTGGACACAGCTCCTGGTCCCCACCTGAGCTGGGCTGCCCCAGGCTTGTCTTATCCTCCCTACTGTCTCCAGGGAAAATAGGGGTTGTTTATGCAAATGCTCCCCACCTCCTCATGTGGCTCTCAGATCCCAGCTGATCTCTGGTTCAGGAGGCTGAGGGTGGGGCTTGCTGTAGTGTGACCCCAGGAGGGAGGTGGAGGGAGCAGGACAGAGCATGCCAGAACCCTTCCCAGGAGCCTCTGCCAGGCCTTGAGAGCACCAGGCTGCTGGGTCTCAGCAGTGAGCCCAGGGTTCTCAGTCTCTGCCAGCCCTCAGGCCGGTGGGACCACCCAGTGTGAGGGCTCCCTGCAAAGCAGACACTTCCAGCACCCACCCCTTGCTGGCCACATTCCTTTGTTGGTGACTGAAGAAGTTACAAATGCCACAGAATTTATAATGGAGACTCCTGATACAGTGAGAAATTACTGAGATACTGACTGTCCTGTGACTATTAGGAAGTCGTCAAAACACAGTGGAGTGGGGCCATCCCACTACTGGGGCATTCTAGGAGCACCTCATAGGAGGTCTTTGAGCTGGGACTCACCTGTCTGTGTGTCCTCCTCCCCTGTTCTAGGGGCCTGGGCACTGACTGGGCTGACCCAGAGCCTCTCCTGGCCCTGACAGATGGCAGCTGCTGAGCCCAGAGCAAAGGACACAGGGACGGTCTCATGATGAGCAGTTTCCCAGCCCCTCCCTCTATCACCTGTACAGAGAGGGGGAGGAGGAAGAAGGAGGCCAGTCCAGGGCATGTGGTCCTCAGAGTCATCTTCCTAACTCCTCAGAGTGGGGTCTCAGCTCCTGCATCCTCTGATCCTCCCTCAATACTCCTGTGGGATGGACCTATTTTGTCTGAGTCTGTCCTGAACCCTGAGTGTCCCCAGCCCCATGGAGTCCTAAATGAACAGCAGATCACGTGGGGTACAGAGAAAGGTGGTGACTGTAGGAACAGTTGAAAGAAGATAACCTTCTCCTGGAGCTGTCATGGGAGCTAGACTTGGGGTGCACTGGACCAGGGACTGACCAGAAGCTGTCAGACCAAACTGGGCTCTGAGTCAGGCCAAGAACCAGGTCTGGGCATGGAGGGGTCAGCCACCTTCTTCTTGGGACATCATCTCCTTGGAGGGACCTTGAGGACTGACTTATGTCACTGAAGACAAGACTGACTTATGTCACTGAAGACAAGACCAGACTGAGAAGCTATTAGAAGTTTAAGAAAATGCTATTTTTTTCATTTTGGTTTGTTTGTACTTTATAATTATCTATTTAATTTTATTCATTATCATCATTTTCTTTTTCAGTTTAACACAAAATGTTAACACAGAGTGAGAAAGAAAGAGAAAGTGAGAAAGCAAGCTGTCTGGTGCAAGACTCAAACCGTGTTTGGCCATGTGTGAGTCCAGTTTCTTAACCACAATGCCTCCTGCCAGCCCCTCTAATGGAACTTTTTAATGATAAAAAAAGAGAAGGCATATTTTTATTTACAGGTCCCAGGAAATCAGGTTCCAGACACAGAAGTGATAACAGGGGTCACCCCAGAGCTAGACTTGGTCCTGGAAAGGGCAGCAGAGACAGTACCAGGCAGAGAGGATGCAGAGGAGGTTTATGTCTCACTTCCCCATGTGTCTGGGCACCGTGTGATCATTTAAGCTGTCCCGCCATGTAACACAGTAATAATCAGCCTCATCCTCAGGCTGCAGCCCCGAGATGTGCAGAACACCTGTACTGGCTGAGACATCTTTGGAGGCAGAGAAGTGGCTGGGGACCCCAGGGCCCTGGTGCTTGTTTGAGTCTGACTTGAACCTCAGGAGATACTGTAGGGGGTTCACTGGCCTCTGCTGGTACCAGCTCATGTTGTTGTTAATAAGTCCAAAGTTGCTGCTCAGGGTGCAGGTGAGTCTGGCAGATCCTCCGGGAGATGCAGAGAGGGAGGGTGGCTGGGTCAGCACAGGCTAGGAGAGAGAACCTGTGACACAGACACTCATAAGGTAGGGATCAGGAACAAAGGTCAAGCTGCTGGGAGAGCTGAGCCAGAGGACACTGAGTCAGGCCAGGCTGCTCCTGGACATGGGAGTTCTGTCCCTACCTAAGAAGTGGGAGAAGAACAGGAGGAGAAAAGGCACCCAGGCATGGCAAACACAGCCTTCCTGAAGTTCAGGCTGGGACTGGGCTCACCTAGCCTCTCTTATCCCCTCCATGGGGTTCACAGGAGGGCGATGATGCAAATGTCCTCCCACACCTTTCTGCCCTCCCCAACCTGCCTGGCATTTCTTCAGGCCGTTGCTCTGGTGGCTGGACCTGACAAGTGGCACTAGGAGGAGGCAGTGCTGGGACCACACCCCAAGAGGTCCAGCTGCTGAGCCTGCATCAGTGATTTCAGCTGCCCTGGCCCAGTCCTGGGAGTGTGGGGAGGGCCCAGTTGTGGGCACCCCCTGGGCAGCCTGAGACAGACCCACAGCGCCACCTACTGCCCACTGCACAAACCTCAATCTCTCAGGGGACATCCTGGCAGTGGCTCAGCCTGAGAGCCTGGTCACTGTCAGCCCACAGAAACCCACAGCCATGCCCCTGCCCTGCTCCAAGGTCACTGATGTTATAAACAGCATTATTCAGCACACAGATACATTATTTCAAGGTCTCAGAAAGCATTATATGTCATTTATGACCATTTATCTGTTTTTATATTTCTGTCCTTCCCTCCTTTCTCCTTTTATTTGTCTTTCTCTCATTCAATTCCTTTATTTTTCTGCCCATGCTTTTTGTGTCATAGCCAAGAGATAATACATATTAATTGTGATGAGTCTTTTCTCTGATGCCTCCTTCTAAGAGAGTTAGAACTTCCATCCGCACATGTTGGTCCTGGCTCATAAGCTCTGTTCTCAGCAGCAGTTGCTGTAAGGACTGTTCTTTCCCCATTGATGGTCTTGACACATATATTGAAGAAACCTCACAGCCATGTATGTCGGTGTTTATTCACAGGATCTGTATTAAATGCCATTTTTCTGTTTATATGTTCATTTACATGTCATTATCACCCTGTGGATTTTTAAATTAACTTTGTTATTATTATTATTTATACATTCAATCGCTATACATCATTTAGTTTGGAAAGAGAATTTACCCAGCATGAAGTACAACTCAGACCAGTCCAGTTGAGAAGACTATTCACATCATCATGAACAGGTAATAAACCATTTCTGTGTCCCACAGATGTCTCACCTCTCTGTTTTTTTTTCCCTCAAATTTGACTATTTTCATTGCCAGAGGACATGTGTGCTTCCAGAGACAGAAAGAGAAAGGGTGAAAGCACCCTCTGTGGGGTGTGGTCATAAGAATAACCATTTGTGAATGGCTATTCTTCCACTCCTCTTCTGGGCAGGATTTCAGGCATGCGTGCTTACATGTTTGGCTTATTTTTCAGGCTTCTGGGCCTGGGTTTTGAACATAGATTGGAATCATGTTCAGTCATGTAGGATCAGGATCCCTTAACCACTAGGCTATACACCTGGCCCATGGCAATGTTCCCTAGTTTAAAATAAAGGAATTTCTCACCTCCCAGATTTAATTTATTTTCTAGTATTTTATTTTTTTAATATTATAAAGTGCATTGTGTTATTCATTTCATCTGTGGTTAGTTATTATTCAAGGTATCAGGTCAATATATATTTATGTGTTGACTTTATATCTTGAAACTACTAAGTTCATTTCATAGTATTTATAATGTTTGAAGGCTTTTTAAAAATAATTTTCTTATTGGGAACCAGCAGTTAGCATAAAGGCTATGTCGCTGGACTCCCATGTAGTCGACCGTGGTTCGCCTCCCAGAGCCGGTGGCTTAAAACTCATGCCGGGTGCATGTGCATGTGTGCCCAAGATCCTGAGAGGAGAATGGAGGAGAAGGGATTGTGGTGTGACCATCCCCGCTGGGGGGTGACTTCTCGCTTTCTGTCTCTATGTCTCTCTCTGTCTGTCTGGCGAGTGCACACGCCCCATAGCGAAAACCTCTCAAAAAAAAAAAAGGGTATAAAAGAAGAATGCATATATTTTCAGCTATATTCCTGAAAATGTCTCAATTTCTTATAGAACTTTATTTATTTCTTTATATTTACTTGAACAATGAGGGACAGAGAGAGAGAAAGTGAAAAGGAAGCTGGTTCAGGACTCAAACCATGGTCAGCCATGTGGGAATCCAGCACCCATAGCCACCACACTACCTGCTGCCCCCCTCTTTAAGGGTCTTTTAAAGGATTGTCTACCTATAAGATCAAGTGTCTGAAAGCATTTTATTTCTTTGTTTCTAATTTCTCTCCTTTTTCTTTGTTTCTTAGTTGCTGTCTTGGATTCGTTAGATCTTCTAATGCTGTACTGAGTGGAAGTAGGAAATGGGCATTCTTGTCTTTTCCTGATATCAGAGAACCTCCCAAGGTGAAAACTCCCACCCTCCACATAAAACCACCTTGATTTTCTTGGGACATGCATTACTACATTTCTCTTTTTAAGTTTTGGCTAAAAGTTACATGTACTCACTGGAGAGAGATAGAAAGAGACAGTGAGAGGAAAAGTGAGAAATCACGCACAAGGGGGGATGGCCATGCCACACTCCTTTCTCCTCCATTTTTCTCCTGGGGTTTTGAGCATGCACGCACACACAACCAGTGTGATTTTTAAGACATCAGAACCAGGACTCAAACCGCAATCAGCTATGTGGAAGTCCAGTGCCTTAAGCATCACACCACTGGTGGGCCCCCATGGTTAGTTTGACTGCTGTTTTTATGTCCTCTGTGTTTATTCAGATGATGTCAGCTTTCTGAGAAAGGGGCCCTCCTGTCTTATTTCCACTGTGTGCTGAGCCCCACAGCCACCTCTAGAGCCTGGTGCACAGTAGAGAGTCAGTAAATGGTGTGCACGGGTGACCTCCAGATAGTCAGCTCTCCTGAATCAGACCCAGTTGGACTCTGTGTCCTCAATCTTCCCTGACCCTGTAAAGAATGAATTGTAGACTTCCAGTACACATGGTCAGAACCTCACCCCCAGTCTCTCTGTATTTGAGGAGTGCATCTCTGTGAAGGCCATTAGGGTTAATGAGGTCCTAATGGCAGGGTCCTAATTCCTGATACTGATGTCTTTATAAGAAATCTGGATACAAACCTTCAAGTCCCAGGGTTTAACTGTTTGGGGACAAAGCCAGAGACAGCAACCTGCCAGACCATGGAGAGAGGACTTATAAGGAGCCAACCTGCTGACAAGTGAATCTGGACTTTCAGGTTCTAGACCTGAAATGAAATAAATATCTGTTTGTGAAGAAGCGTATAATATTTGCTGTAGGATCCTTGTCAAACTTAGGGATTATTGCCAGATTCCAGGTATATTCACTGAGATAAACACACATGTGTCATTGCTAAATATTGGATTGGGGGTGGAATTGGAGAGCGTGAGGACAGATTCCCTAGATACATGTCACTGGACAGGAGCTCAGCCTGCAGCTTAAGACCAAACACACAAAGGAAATAGCTGATTTTTCTCCGTGTGGGTGCTGAGCGAATAAGCCCCAGGGCTGGGCAGACAGCAGGTTCTTGTCTCACTTTCCCCCTGGTCCAGAGCACTGTGGGAACATCAGTGTTGCCATCCCAGGACTGGCAGTGATAATCAGCCTCATCCTCAGCCTGGAGCCCTGAGATGGTCAGGGACGCTGAGGTTCCAAATCTGGAGCTAGAGAATCGATCAGGGGCCCCTGAGGGTCGTTCAGTATCTTCATAGATAAGTCTGGGGGCCATCCCTGGGAGCTGTTGGTACCAGTGCACAGAATAGCCACTCCCAAAGTTGTTGCTGTGTCCACTGCAGGAAATGGTGACCCTCTGGCCTGGAGGCCCAGACACTAAGGGTGTCTGAGTCAGCACAGACTGGGCCCAGGATACTGGAGGAGGGAGAGAAACAGAGAGGGTGATTCTTTGTCTAGAGACAAGAGAAGAAAACAGGGCCCAAGGTTTCCCCAGGCCTTGCCCCTGGCCCCATATCTAGTCACCTGTGCAGTGAGCCAGGAGGGTGAGCAGGAGAGGGGACCAGGCCATGGTGGAGGATTCCTGAAATTGGCCTTCTGGACCCACAGCTGAAGCAGAGTTTCCCCTAATCTCTCTCTTCCTTTCTTCAATCTTTGAGAGGGGGTGGGGCCATTTATGCAAATGAGACACCCCCCCTCCCCCAGCTTGCAGGTCTGACCTGGCCCTGGGTCAGACCTCTCTGCCTGAGGCAGAGTGGGAGGTCTTAGTCTCTGTGGGCTCAGTGGTTGGAGTCCCAGCTGTAAGTCCAGAGCAGATGGCAACATGCAGGGCCAAGTGGGGAATACCAGCTCTGATGACCCCAAATCTTTTAAAAATAGACCCCAATCACCCTCTTGTGTCCAGACCCAGACACAGCATCCTGTGACCTGGTGATTTGAGTCCCTCAGAGGAATCTTCCCCAGTGCTCTGTCCACTGCCCCCTTCCTTAGGTCCAGACCAAGCAGCCTCGTCTGTGGACCCTCTTTACCTCAGGTCAGTCTTTATGACCTACTCAGACTCCTCACAGGTGACTCTGTCCATGGCCCCCTTCACTGTTGACTGGTCAGGGCTGAGGTGTCTCTCTTACAAAGTCTTCTCAGATCAGGACCAAGTGCAGAGAACTGAGGGACTCGTGTACTCACTCCCCCAGCTCTGCAGGAGGTTGCACGATTTCTCACTTGGTTCCTCTCTGGTGGCCAGAGCTCTCCCTCTGTGGATCCCACAGTTCTGGGGAGAATGGGAGCTCTTCTCTCTGTGGAGGGGGAGCAGGTAGGGAACAGGCCTCATGTGTGTTCCTGGATTCCTGGAGAGTGATGCGGGAGCTCTGGACTTCCTGTCTGTATTTCTGCAGTCTCAAGGTCATCATCACACATGTGTATAGAACAAGGGATGAGTCCTAAGGACCTATAATCTAAACACCAGATTAGTAATGAGATGACTACACCGCTAATTCTAAGTTGTTTTCAGCTTCTCTTCAATGTTTTGTAATTAAGATACCACATGTCTGGGTCTTCTGTACAGAAAAGATATTCAGTCCTAAGACCAAAAAAAAAAAAAAAAAAGAGAAAAAAGACAAACCAAAGCCCGAGGCCTAGATTCTACCTCTGTCTTTATTTTGGACCAAGCAAAGTCTGACACGTACATGGAGCAGGGAGAGGTAGAGGATGGGATGACCCCTCATGGTGCCCAGAGACCTGAAGGACAAGGCAAGAAAGTGAACTCAGTGTCCTTTTATTTCTCCTCAAGTACATCTGTGTGCAGTGACTAAAGTGGAGAGGGATTCAGGCCATGGTGGAGACACCCCCAGAATGAGAAAGCCCAAGTCACTGTGTTTGGTTTTGAGGTCACTGGGCCCCTCTTATTCTCTTATTCTCTGTCCAGACATTGTTTCTGCTGACGTTTCTTCATGTTGATTTGTCTCAGCTGTGTGACTGTCCCTCTGTCTCTAGCTAGACATCAGATCTAGACAATAGCCCCAGGAACTAGAAGGTAAATATTAAGTAGGGGTCCAAGCCCAGAGCTCAGGTGGCTCACCGGGCCCCAGGTGCAGGAAGGTCATACCTAGAGAGTACACTTCCTGCCTCAATGTGTGGGAGCAGGGAAGGTATTTTCTAATGTGGCCACACCCAGAGCTCTACCCTCTTGGGAACTTCCAACAGCATCCCCTGCTGGCTTAGGTCCTGGTCCTTTTTCCTCTGACACCTCCCAGCACTCCTGGAAGGGTATCCCAGCTATTGCACATGGTGCTTTCTGACGTCACTACTCAGGACAATAGGTTGGATGGATGTTCTCCAGAGGTTTCTGACTGAGACATTAGTGTCTGCTGGTCATAATGTTCCTGCAGGCTGCTAAGTGCAGGGCATCTGACAGAGTCCCTGTGTCACCATGTATGCCAGCATGACCTGGCACCCAAGTTTGCCACTGCCAGGTACTTGAGGTCATTATCAATCTAAAACTATTGAAGTTCAAGTTTAATGCTTAAAATTCCTCAGAATAACACTGTTTCATACCTGGCAATAATTCAACATAAGTGTCCTTCCAGAAAATAATAATAAGTGGCTTTATCCCTGTTGCTGTGGGTGTTCCCTGTCAGGTCCTTCATCCCTATGGTGTGACCCTGACCTCTGACCTCTGTCTTGCTGGGAACATACAAGGCTGTCAGGAAAGAGCCTTTCCTTCACATGTTTCTCACTCCAGGTTCAATTTGCCTGTTATTGTTAAGTGCCAAGTTTTGATTTTCATGTGACTCTGCTATCCAGATCTTTGTGTTTATTTTAAAAATTGTTTCTATGAGGATTGATAACATAAAAGGGTAATTGCTGAAAACAAAGCATTGTAAATTTAGAGTTTTTCCTTCATTCTGGGTCTCCACTGTCTGCCCATTCTTTCTCTCCTCCACACACACATCACATCCTGATCAAGTTTCTCTGGTGAATGCTCCATGGATCAACACAGAAGAAAAACAAGACTTTCTTGAAGTGTCTGCACAACCCCTGGGTCATCTGTGAGAATGTGGATTGGAATCAGTGGCTCTTAATTCCCAGAAAATGAGGCTCATCCAATGTTGTACCAAACTAACGAAGATATCATGAAGCACCCAGATGGAAGTGAGCACTGACCAGGGTGATCGGGAATGCAGGGACTACCCGGTGGTGAGGGAGCAGGTTCTGGGCCTGAGACCCTCCTCCTACACAGGGAGATTTCCTTCTGCATGAAGACAGAACATCCTGCAGTTGTCACCTGAGCACAAGGGAAGAAGCTCATTCTTCACAGTCTCAGAGCTTAGGAAGTGACAGCAGACCTGACAGGAAGTGAACATCTATGGGACAACAGAGAACAGGGGCAATAGATGTCCTGTCCCGGGTTCTCTTCTCATCTCCACCTCATCAATGCTCACTGTGTCTCAACAGCTAGTTTTGCTTAATGAAACAAATTGATGCCAATTGCATGGGGAGAACAGTAAGAGGAGTTTTGGCTGGTGAACCCTCGCTCTGCATTGAGAGCATTGTCACTGCAGGATCTCCAACCTAAGCTGCTGTTGGTCCCAGGTAGGGATAGGGGAGGGGTGGTCAGACAAGCAAAGAGGGGGACAGATCTTTATCTCACTTTCCTGTGAGATAGGAGTGCTTGGTGACAAGCAGGATATACCCAGCTGTGGAAAAAGTGACAAGTAGCCTTGTACTCAGGCTGGAGCTCAGAGGTTGTCAATGGGCTCTGTTGTCAATTCCAGAATAGGAGAATCAGGCAGGGACCCCTGAAGGCTGACCACTGCTGTCCTGGGTCATAAACTCAGGAGATTTTACTGGGAGATTTGCTGACCAGGAGTCATGGAAATGCCCACTGTTCATGCTCCAAGAGGAGCATGAGAAGGAGAGCAGTCAGACCATGGTGGACACAGCTAGCTCCTGGGCCGGGATGCCCAGGCCTGTCTTATTATCCCTACTGCCCTCCCTGGGAGAAGCAGCTTATGCAAATACACTCCCACTCATGTGTCTCTCAGATCCCAGCTGATCTCTGGTTCAGGAGACTGAGGGAAAGGTCTGCTGGAGTGTGACCCCAGGAGGGAGGTGGAGGGAGCAGAGATGGTCTGGGGTCCATGTCCCAAGGTCTTTCTGTGCACATATGAACATGTGTCCATTATCTGGGCTGGGTGAGGTTATAGGTTGGTGGCCATTGGAAGATCCTGTCATGAGTGACTGTGTCTTTTCTTTCTATGTCTCTCTGTGTGTCTGTCTCTCTATCATGGGAGAAATAAATAAAACATCATAGTTTGCATAAAGAAGGGAAATATCTTCCCCACAGTTCTTGAGTCTTAGAAGGTGAAGTTCGAAATGCCAACAGAGCCTGATCCTCACACACATACACTTCTCCCTGTGACCCCCCCCACAGTCACACCTACGTTCTGAAGAGGGTCTGCTCTTTGCCATTCCCCAGGCCCTCCTCTGACCCAAAGGGCTACACTATCTTACCGATATCACCCATTGCCTTCTCAGGGACAAACCCCACACATAAATGAAAATAGAAATAATAACACTGTGTAACCCTGATCAAGGTGGGATTGACACTATTGTCCTCAGGGACATGGCATTTCCCAGGGGTTCAAACTGTCTTTTCTACTATTACCTGGATGTCATCATGACTTTCATACAGACATATTTGGAGTCTGTAATTTGCACTGTAATTAAAATTATAAACATTTTTGAACTATCTTTTATTTTGTGTAAGAAATTATAATTTGGGACAAGCAGATGGTGTAGTAGTTACATCTCTGAACTCCCACATGGCTGACTGCATTTCAAGTCTCGGACCCAGTGACTTGAAACTCACACTGGGCATATTTGTGTCTGTGCCCAATATTTTGGGATGAGAATGGAGAGAAGGGATTGTGATGTGACCATCCTCCCCTAGGGAGTGAGTTCTCACTGTCTTTGTCACAGTCTCTCCCTGGTGAGTGCATGCAACCTAGGCAAAAACTTCTACCTTCCAAAAATTTATAATTGTATTCACTTTGTATTTGATAGTTTTCTTATTAATTTAAATAAACTGTGAGTAGGTAATTAGGAAATTCACAATAAAAAATCCCATATCACATATATTTTTTTTCTGCTCCATCTATTGGGGATGGGACAAAAATTCCAGGTAAAACATATGTTCTATTTCAAGAACTGAGAAGGAGAGTCAGAGACCCTGGAATCCCAGGGATATCCTCATCTGTAAATGTTCTGTCTCCTGACACTCCAGGTCACAGGTCTAACACTGGGTGAGGGAAAATTAGAGATGCATCTGCCCAGGTGCATGTGCAGGTGACAGCACAGTCCCCACATTAGTAGTATCCAGCCTCAGGCTCCCCCCACCCTTGGCCATCAGCCCAGAGCAGCAGGTTCAGCACCTGGTCTGCACCTCCTCCCTGCCCACAGCTCTCCTCCTTGAGCTCGCCTTCATCACCAGAACAGACACGTGTTTCTGGACCTCAGTCTGAAATTCTTTCCCTCCTTTCCTCAGGCACAGTCAGGTCACAGGGAGTTCCTGAAGGGTCACCAGGGCTAGTGTGGCAATGATGCCTTTATATACA